TAGAAGCAATTTCATGTAGAACTCAGAAATTTGTTGTGGTTGTTGTTTTCTTCTTTCTTTTTGGTGCTAGGGATTTAACCCAGAACCTCAAGCATGCTAGGCAGGTGATCTACCACTAAGTTATATCCAGATCCCCCAACCCCCATCACCCTTTTAACTCTTTGGGGATCTAGTCTACATGGGACTTAGATCTAGAAATCTCAGAACTGACTTGGGCTATACCTGCCATGTGATTGTTATCCCAAATCTAAGACAACCCCTTAGGCCTTGCTTGCAGATTCTGATTTGAGGCTGGTTAGGATTGGATTCTAAAGGTGAAGGGTGGGCTGAGCATAATGGGACATGCTTATAATCCCAGCAACTCAGGAGGCTGAGTCAGGAGGATCACAAGTTCAAAGGCAGCCTCAGCAATCTAGTGAGAACCTCAGCAACTTAGTGAGATCCTGTCTTAAAATAAAAAATAAAAAGAGCTGGGGATGTGACTTAGTGGAAAAGTACCCCTGAGTTAAATCCCTAGTACCAAAAATAAATATGTAAATAAAGGTGAAGGGTGGGACAGGCACTTTTGGTCTCCTTAGTGTGATTGCTTGGGACATCTTCCTCTGCTTCTTATTTTCTGGAGTTTAATTCCAATAAATACTGGTAATAGGACTGGTGCAGTTGTAAATTGGGGGAGGGAGTAGGAGGCCATGAGAATCTGTGGATGTGGGCAGGAAAGGCTCTGAGGAAGGGGAGGATTCAACCTTAGTTAACCTATTGTGGTCTGGGAAACCCCTGTGACTCAGCTCCTGTACTCCCTATTTTGTGTATGTGTGTGAGTGTTATTCTCTCCCCTTACACAAATTATTTATACTGGAGAAGGCTTAGGTTCCAGCTGTACTTTAACGATGTTTTTCGAGATTAATCCTAATTCGATTTTCATACTCTTTGTTCCCTTGATGCCCCAAAATGAGAACTGTCCTTCCAGACCCCTGGGCATACATTTTTTTCCCTAGTTGTAGATAGACACCATGCCTTTATTTTATTTGTTTCATTTCTATGTGGTGCTAGGCAAGTGCTCTGCCACTGCGCCACAGCCCCAGCACCCCCTGAGTGTACTTCTAATATCATGGCATTATCTACCACCTTTGGAAGGTAGAGTCAGTGACATGAGGAAGAGGGTTTTAACTCTCATAAAATTTTAAACTTTCTATGCACTGAGCATCAAATTACTTTAAACACTAGTTTTTACATGCACATCTCATTATATTTCTCTTACTAGATTGTACATGTCTCCAAGGCCTGACTGATGACTTATTCATTTTTTCCCCTTTTCCTCAGTCTTCCACACAACCCAACACTCCTCAATTACATGGTGTTTATCTATAAAGGAGTTGGGTAGAAAAGTCATCTATCCAACCTTTCTTAGTCCCAGTTTCAATTGTTGAGATAAGCGGGTATCTAAGGTTTTTCTGGCCTTCATATAACAAACAATGCTATAGGTTGACAGTTACACATTCTAGAGCAATTTTAAAGCAGGTAGTCTCTTTAAAAACAACCACGCAGCATGCCAGACATGTTGGCACAAGACTGTAATCCCAAAGGCTTGGGAGGCTGAAGCAGGAGGATGGAAAGTTCAAAGTCAGCAACTTATCAAGGCCTTGAGCAACTTGGTGAGACCTTGTCTCAAAATAAAAAGTAAAAAGACCTGGGAATGTGGCTCAGTGGTTAAATGCTCCTGGGTTCAACCTCTAGTTGAATAAATAATAAATGAATATAAATATAAAATAAATATAAATGAAGCATTACTGAAAATGCATATTTTTTAATCAAAAGAGTATCAATATAATCCAGCCATATAAGAAAATACATTGAAAAATTTCACAAGGTACAATTTTAACTGATTTAACTATGATATACAAAACCACATTAATCTTTTTTTTTTTTTTTTTAGAGTTTCTGGGAAGAGCAAGACTGTATTTGACACTAGTCGGGGCACGTGGGCTTAAGGCTATATTCCAGCTACCTGGAAGGCTGAGGCAGGAGAATTGAAAGTTTGAGGACAACCTGGACAATGGATGGAGCCCCTATCTCAAAAACAAAAACAACAGTAAAAAACATCTGGGGATGTAGCTCAGCCTAGCATGCCCAAAGCCCTAGGTTCAATCCCCAGTATTGCAAACAAGTTAACAAACAAACAAAAAAAGAAAGGAAAAAAGAGAAACTAAAGACTATAATGACATATACATAAAATTAATTAAAAATATTTTTTTGTGCGCTTACTATGTGCTATATACTAAGTACTTTATATAAAATTACTCATTTAATTCTCATAGTATATTGATAGTGGAAGCAAGGGCAGAATCTAAATTTCTGGGCATTCCACATCATAATTAAATAAAACTAGTGCTTTAAATTGTTTTGAAGCTACAAAACAGTGATTTCTGGGTATAAGTGACTATAAAATATTTAAAATGTTTATTTTAAGTCACAGATTTTTGATGTATTATCTTAGCTCAAGGCAGTTCATAAAACACTATTCATTTCAGTGTATCAATACAAATTTCCCTGGATTAAGTGAATTATTCAATTTTAAGAGTATTGAAATTATATGTATATTTAAGTTTCAATATAATGTCTCATTCTTCTTTGGGGGCTGGGTGGAGGGTACTGGGGATTGAAACCAGGGCCTCCCACATGCTAGATAAGGGCACTACCACTGTGCTATATCCCCGTCTTTATTCTTTGAGACAGAGGCTGTATCAGTTACCCAGGCTGGCCTTGAACTTGTGATCCTCCTTCCTCAGGCTCCCAACTAGTTGGGATTACAAGTGTATGCCATCATCATTCAATCTTATTTGTATTAATTAATTCACAACAAATCTCAATACCCTTACAACAGTAAAACAAACAAAAAAATTAAACAGCAAAATCAGGAAAAAAGAGACCTTAATTCACTAGGTCAAATTTTAAAATAGCTGTTACTTTGGGAATAAAACTCAGTCTTTTTCACCCCTTGCTGAATCACCACAAGGGACAAAGTATCCAATATATCTCATTCTTGCAGTCTGTCCTCTATGTCTCATACTTTCAGTTCAAAATATACATGACTTTTCCTAGTTTTCATTGTAAACATTTAAAGTGTTTCTTCAAAACCAGTCTTCTTTCTTTGTAAAATATTTCTGCTTAGCTATATCATTTAAATGAATTTTGAGAAGCTCCTCTTTTAAACTTATTTTAGTTGAGATATTAATAAAATAAAAATAAATTTAACTTTCAAAATCATATTTTATAAGGGATCTTTGAAGGGTCTTTACCAACTGAGGTACAGCTATTAATATTTCAAAGAAATTATATTATCTAGGTTGCTTGTAATGGAAGTTGAGTCACTTGTTTCACCTAAACAGGGAAGTTGGCACCTTTGCCTAGCAACAGCAGCTAAAACCTTCTGTTGTGGAAGGTTCCCTGGGAGGGAGAAGGGAGGAGGAGGAAAAGCAAGAGGAACAGATTAATCTGTTTTTCCTTGCAGGGGACAGAGGCCTGGTTGTTGGAGGTGGGAACTCTCTCTCCAAGAGACAGCCCTTAGATTAGCACAGGCTAACTTCATCCCCTTGTGGTAGTAGAGATTTAATCTCTGTAGCACTGGAGTTACTATAAAAGTTAACCCCTCATCTGCAGGTATATGTTCCCAGATGTTCAGCTGATGCCTGAAACTAAGGATAGTACTGAACCCTGAGTTTGTGTGTGTGTATACATATATGTATGTATATATATAACATACATATATATAATATTTATATAATAAATATATAAATAATATATACATTTCTTCTGCACATACATAGTTATGATAAAGTTTAATTTATGAATGAGGCACAGTAAGAGATTAACAACAGTAATAAAATAGGGCAATTATAACAATATACTGTAACAAATCATTTAAAACTCATGAATTGTTTATTTCTGGAATTTTCCATTTAATATTTCCAGACAGCAGTTTTCTAAGGATGACATACCACAGAAATTTCAGCTAAGAGGACACTGCTGTATTCAGTAGGCTGACAGGAAGGTATAGATTTAGCCCACCTCAAAGGCAGTATATTTAATCAATATAGAGACATCAATAGGTCTTCTAAAGAGCTGAAATCTTAGTTGCTGGCAGTGTTATCAACTAAAAAGAGTTCTTCCTTGGCAAGTTTAAGAAGGTATGTGATATGTTTTACAAATAATATAAAAACTATGGGTCACAGAGATTCACTTTATTAAGTTAGGGACAGAAGTTTCTTAACAATTTTTTTCTTTGATTGATGTACATAATGAAGAAAGGACAGAAGAACGAATTCTCTGCTCTCTTGGCCAAGAATTGAAGCAAATCGCAGAGTGGAGTGGAGACTATTAAATGGGTGTTGAAATTAACAAAATTTGTACGATATTAAATGAATTGCATTTCTATCCCTTCTCAAAAGCAGGGGATTGGCTAAATGGTCCTGCCTTGAAGCTCTCTCCCATTCTCAAACCCAGACAACATCCTTTTCATAAGGAGCAAGAAACTTTGCAGTCACAGGTTAGGTCCAGATGCAGGAGCTCTTCCAGGCGGAAGCTGTCCCTTCCCACCCCTTATAGTTCTTATTGTTCATGTTGCTCCAAAGACGTTTCCGAGCAGCGACTGGCCTGGCCTCTGGGTGGTTCCCTGCGGGGGAGGCGCAACTCTTTGGGGACGTTAGGAGCGGGGTGGCGAAAGGGCATAGCCGGTGTGGCGGGGAGCCTGGACAGAGGGTAGAGGGGAAAGCACACGTGGGGGAGACGTGGAAGGGACGGCCCACTCCGAGAGCGTGGGACCGCAGCCGGGACGCGGGCGCCGCCGAGTAACCCACCTCCACTCGTCCCGGCCCGAGGGCGCTCGCAGCACCCCCGCCCGGCCGCGCGCGGGCGACTCCACCGCCCGCCCCGCCCCGGGGGCGGAGCCTCTCCGGGCCACGCCCCTGTCTCCGGGGCGGGCCGGAGTCTGAGGAAGAGGAAGGGGACGAGGACAACGAGCGGCGGGGCGGCGGAGGACGCGGAGGAGGAAGAGGAGGCCGACCTACAAGATGGCCCCTGCTGCAGGAGCGGCCTCGGCAGCAGCAGGTGGGGGGCTGGAGGCGGCGCTGGCGGCAGCGGCCGAGGCCCGGCGGCCTGGGACAGAGTCAGCGTCGATGGTAGCAGCGGCGGCGGCGGCGGCTGCCGCGGCGGTGGCGACGGCCGCGGGGACGCGGAGCTGAGAGGAGCTGCTGCTCGGACCAGCGCGGTGAGCGAGCGGCGGCCGCGGCGGGGAACAATGGGCGGCGGCGGCGGAGGT